ACGTACATACATAAAACAATAAGATAATAAAAACATAATTGATCCAAAAGAAAAAATTGAAACAATAAGACAACAAAAACATAATTGATCCAAAAGAAAAAATTGATCTCGCTGAAAAGCAAAACAACTCACAATTATTGCTCGCCCAAATGCACCAGCACTCACATACGCCCATGTTCCTGGAAGCATTCCCAACCAACTGCAATAATATCATATACCACAATATGTCTCATTATATCAAATCAAATAAATAAAGCAATAATCAAATGCTAACCAATTCAAGAATTTAGCACTATATTTGGATAGATAGGTAAGAAGAAGAGTAACAGACCTTCCCAAAACATAAGGCACAAACTTCACCGATGTAAGTCCATACAGATAGTTCCCCAAAGAAAAAGGAAGCAAAGGGCTTAAACGGAGAAGGGTAACAACTCTGAACCCATTTTCCCCAATAGCCTTATCAATTGCTAGAAACTTTTTGTTTCCTTCGACGAGTTTAAGAATACGCTCACGAGCAAAGTATCTCGCAATCAGGAAAGCAATACTCGCAGCCACCTTAAATGGGAAAAACATGAAATGATCAATAACCAAATTAAACACTTGGTGTGTATTTTGATTGTTTCTACACAAGTGGGAGAAACTAACTCACGGTTCCGCTGATGGAGACTATGATAGTGCCGATAACAGAGCCAAAAAGAAGTCCAGCTGACATCGTTAACGGAATGGCTGGAATTGCAAGGATCTAAGCAAAACATAAACTAGTTAGAATCGCTGTTAAAGACGATTCATTGTATATGTGACAGATCTAAATGTTCAAAGTAGATAATATATGTTATGCAAGAGAAAAATAAGGTAAAATCAAATTGCCTGTCTAAACATCTACTCTCTGTAACTCACTAAAGCGTACATGATTAGCTCATGTATGCACGCGTGGCATCCACACTTTTAGGAGATACTGTAAGAGAACCTCTCTAAATAGTCAAAGAAATCAAGTTACCCGAGAGAAAAATATGGCAAACTAAAAAAAAGAGCAAATTGGTTATAAAAAAAATAAATTAAAAAAAAAAAAAAAACCTCAAAAATCTAATTACTAAATGAAGCAATTTCCTCAACAAAGAAAAAATCGAAATGAATCCATAAAATAGTAAAGTGAGATATTACCGCATGGTTAAATCAACGTAAAGGATTTTTTTTTTTTTTCAAGGAAAGTACTATAAAGGCATTTCTGTAAGTACACTTATTCTTGTTCTAATTCTTTCCAAATTCCAGATTCGTAATAATAATAACTATCGGTCGTTTGGTAAACATATCAATGAAGTTTTAGAATTCAATTTCAAGGAAATGTAATTTTTTTTTTTCCTCTCTTGAAACTTAAAGCTTACTCCTTGAAATTCCTGATAAGTAAACGAAAAGAAGAAAGTATAAAATGCGTACTTCGAGTCCGGCGTATACAGCCACAAACAAAGCATATCCAGCTGGTCCATAACCTGTTCATCAAAAACCTCCATCAAATTCACAAACTCTCACACAGAAAATCCACGCACAATTCGCACAAATCACCTAACAATTCCAAGAATTTGCTCCAAAATTAGAACCCTACCTTCAATGAAAGTGGAGAATTGATTCAAAAAGGCGTTGATTTGGTCCTTGTACACGTAACCGACGGCGCCGAATCCACCAACAACGCCGACGAGCAACAATCCGGCCAAGATCGTGCCTTTGACGGCGGTATCGCCCTCCAATCCGGCTTCGCCGCCGCCATTGTTATCGTCGGGGTCGTCGGCCTTGGGGCTAGTGAAGAGCCACTTGAAGCTCTGCGGCGGAGGAGCGTTGGGAGTGGCGGTGGTCTTCTGAAGAGTCTTCTGTTTCTTTGTCTGCTTGAGAGAGGAGTAAGGAGTGAGAAAGTGGAAGCGCCGGTGAGGTCTGAAGCTGAAGAGGAAGGAGGAAGAAGGAGAAGGAGTGAAGGAAGAGAGGCACTGCGGCGGAGGCGGCGGAGGCCGAAGAGTCAGGAGTGTGCGCATTTTAAGAGGGATGTATGGCGCAGGATAGGAGTGTGAGGAGCTCCTATAGAAGAACTAGAGGTCAGTAAGGAGGAAAGATCATGTAAAAATGCCATGTGGTCGGGGAAATGAGACGTTGTTTTCTGTTTATTATCTTTTTTTGCTTCTTGGATTTTGGTATCAACTCTCAAAATGTGTATATACTCTTAAAATGTAAAACTGATTTAGAGAGTATACTCAAATTATAATTTTTAATTTTAATTATTAATAAAATTAAAAATTTAAATTTTTTATAAAAAAAAGAGTATAATTAATTATTTAAATTTAAATATATGAAATAAATAGGTCTTAAGAGTATGTTTATTACAATTTAAATTAAGACTTTGAGTTGTATATGTAAGAGAAAAATATTATAATAAAAATATTAAATTTAAATTATTGTAAAAAAAATTATGTAGCAATAAAGATTCTCTTATTGGTGTTGACACAATAAGAAGAAAGTAAAATAAAAGAAATAGAAAAGAAAAGAAAAAAAATATGGGTTTAAATAAAAGGTAAAATCATTTATATTAAAAATGATAGGATAATTTAACAAAGCTTCGTGAAATCTATTAGGGATATTTTTTCTTGCCTGAACTCTATAATTCTTCATAGAGTAGTAACATGGAAAAACATTGCATTGTGCGAATCCTCTAATCATGTTGAAATCATATTAGATGGTATATAACGTTTATAGAATTTATTATATTTAATAATTCAAAATTTAACATAATTCTAACGAAAAAAAATATTGCTGTAGAAGTAACAGGAGGCTAGGAGCTGCATGGAATTTTTGTTCCATCTATTTCGAGAGTTCTAACTTGATTCTGGATTATAATTCTTAATTTGTTATAGTATTTTTTTCTCATAAAAAATTTAAATTTTAAAAATCAAAATCATTAATCATGATCTTGAACTCATAAACCAAGCGTCACCTTCATGTTTTTTGTGTCGCCAAAGCCACGTGTACATCTTTTGATGTGAAAGGGATTGAAAAATTAATGATGTTTGAGCTTGTTGTGGATGATGTAGAGTCTTAAAAGAGTGGCAATGGGTGTGCCATGTCGTGCTCTCGATCACCTCTGCCTTTTCTTTCCTCAAGAAAATAAAATTATTGGTCATTGATTTGCAGCCTGAGAATGTAAAAAAAAGACCTTTATAGCCATACGAATATGTGTGTGTGTGTGTGTGTGTGTGTGTGTATATATATATATATATATATCATATGAAGCTTGTGTCAATGTCATGTTGCTTCTTTTGCTTTGCTTTGGCATGTGTTTTGTTTTGTTTGAATATTAAAAACAAAACAAAAATAGAAGGGTGTGTACAATTTTTCTTAACACGACAAGTTCTGTGGCCACACTGGAGCTTCATATCATTGTATGAAGAAGATAATTGGCCTTCATAAAAAGAATTCTCAATCAACAAAGCAGTCATAGTCGTACACACCAGAAGAAGAGTTTTGAAACGGTATCTCAATCTAGAAGTGTAAGTTTAGACCGTCCGACCCGGCTCCAGCGACCTGAAAGGAAATTTCAGGCTAGACCGGCCCAATCCAACCCTAAGCCTAAAAAATTTAAAGCCGGGCTAGGGTCAACAATAACGGGCCTTATAACCCGACCTAAACTTACAACTCTGTCTCAATCAAACACATTCCCATAAAAACATTGCTTGCTTACACAATTTCACAAGCCTTTGTTTGGCCACAACACTCTTGGATTTATCCCATGAAAGTCTTAAAAACCCAAGTCTTCATTGCCAAAAAAAAAAATCAAGCAAGACGGCAGCTCCAATAATATCGGAAAAAAAAGGTTAATGGTGGTATTTGCTGCTTAAGCTAAAGCAACCTTGCTCCCTCCATTTTTCTTCCATAGTTGAAATTTAGTGAAGCAATGAAGTCATATAGTGAATACCATAACCAAAACATAGCATCTACTTGGATTACCCAAAAAGAGTTTCATGATTTGCTAGTAAAGATCATAACTCAAACAACAACCGTCATCAATATTAAAAAATAAAAAAAATAAAAAGGCCATGTACTCAGATGCTAAAACTTTGAGAAGATCCACAAGTGAGCCTATATTGACCTAAAAATGGTACAGGCATTGACATGAAACCATTTTGATGTATCAAGCTACTTCAACTGATCTTCTATTTGCTGCTTTCTATTTGTACAGGTAAAGAGAAACTCTCATCATGTGACTGAAGATTTCCCTTGAGAGAGAGAATTTATGTCCGAGTTCGTCAAAGACGACTTAATTTTATGAAGCTGGCCTTTAAATCCTGCTTGGAGTACATGAGGCGAAAACAGATCCGGCTTTTCAAGAGCTTTCACTGCTGAGCTTGCTGCAAGATTGATCTACAAGGAATTAAGGGACAATCAGTATAATGGCATTTCTTCCTTCTTTCAGCATCTAAAAGGCGATACAATTGATTTATTATTTGGCATCTTGTTTATAACTTGCAGCCCGATTTCAATAAATATGCATAACTCTGTTGTATTCTAAAGGAAAACAATGAAGCACATTTATTTAAGCCAAACTACATCTGAAGATAGGTGAATTGGTTTCATCCGTTGATACCGAAAAGCAAATAGTACGTGACAAATGGATATCTATGTTCATAAATTAAAAGCAGATAAAAAATATTGCAAGGAAACAATATGCTTGTATACTTCATCAGGGTTAAAAAAAATTACAAAACTTTAAAACTTACTCGAGCGGTTAATTGAAACTTAAGTGGCTAATATCATGTAACATTTCAAAAGAAGCAAATGCGGCAGTGGTATCCGCAAGAACAAGCACGTCACAGATGAGCAAGTACAGAGTTGGGAAAGAACAAAGTCCTACATAAGAAGATTGGAGCTCAAAGCAATCTTGCTATTAAAGAAAAGGATCTAAAACACAATCTAAACATCTCTATGCTGGGATTTGGGCATCTAATAAGGCTATAAAACCTTCGACTAAACCCTCAATAAACAAATATATATTAGGAATCTTTGAGCTTAATTTGCAATTACTCGAAAGTATGAGTGAAATGACAAACAAAAGAAATTCAACAAATACAAGAACTTTTGCTAAATATAACTCAGGACCTGTTTAATTCGTTAATTCAAATTTTTAATTTGAATTAAGACATGACTTTATATGAGAATTTTTTACTATAATAAAAAAGTTAGATGTCGTTGTTTCTAAAAATTTTTACTCTATTAAAACTCGAATTCTAAACTCAAATCGTTGAAATGAACGGGATAAATGTACACATACATAATTATATATATATATATATATATAGATATTGTAACTGAGGGAAGATTGTTCATACCGACTGCGAAGCCATCTTCAATAAAGCTCTTGCTAGAGGTAGAATGCAAAACCTTTTTCAACACAAAAAACAAAAAACAAAAAAAATAGGATCAGCATAATTTCAAAGCATTCATATTTGATTACACAAACTCAATGAAGTATATTCCCCACGAAAGATTATTCTTTTTTTTATTTCCTAATTCAAAGCGACAGAAAAACTTTCCCAGCAATCAAATGGAAGAATACAAAGGTGAAGAGAGAGAGAGAGAGAGAGAACTAACATTCCTCGGCCACCGGTTAGAGCTTCTTCTGATGGGGGTTTCCACTCATCGATTCTGCATTTACTTATAAATCAAAATTTAAAGAAAAAAGAAAAAGACTTTTGTAAATTATACATGAAAATTAAAGGCCGAAGAAGAGAGAGAGAGAGTTACATACACCCAACCGTAACGGCGGTCGAAGAGAAGACGTTTAGAAGTTTGGGTGGAGGAGGAGCTTGGGATAGAGATCGAAGCCATTGTTGCCTTCATTGAGAGCTCTCATTCTCTTGCTCTTTCATCGCTAGTGAAAAATGTGCTCAGGAGAAATCACGGCCCAACCAATAATGACCCATGACATCAGAGCTCAAACATGGGCTGGTTGAGAATAAGGCCCAATACTTATAAAAAGAAAAACGAAAAACAACAATAAATTGTAAAACGAGAGTAGTGCTGAAACTTTGGACAGGCGCCGCAAC